GGGGGGGGGGGGGGGGGGGGGGAGGTTTTCGAACGAACCCAAATTTCATCGACCTTCTATTTAACAAAGCCTATTTACATGATATGGATCTAATGTTTCTACTGACAAGGAAACTTGCAGGAAATTGATAATATATCTTCATTGGATTCCTTACTAATGATGCCAAATGTATTCCTGGATGCAAAGAACAAATTATCTCAGCGGTTGAAGTGTGTGATATTTAGACAGAATAACAGACCTTATGGGAGCACTTATCTATGGTGAAAAATCATGTAAGCGGAAGAGAACATCTTCGTTTATATTAGATATACAAAATCCATTTCAATCCAAAAGATAAATAATATTAATAATATAAGTTGAGAAAGAATTGGACTAATACAGGAAGAAATTTTATACACTTTTATTAGTTTTTCCCCTTTGGCTCATTGATTTAAAGTTTTAAACACTACGGTAGAGTACTAAACACATTGTAAGGCTTTCAAATGTTCATGAGAGGAGGAAGAGCCACAATTTACCCGATGTTGTATTTAATAAGAGACGGGGGAAGGGGGGTTGGGGGTGGGGTGGGGGTGGGGGGGAGCTAATATGAGAATGTAGTCATGGACACGCAGAAACTGCTCTGGAACAATAAAATTGATCAAAAATGAACCTGCTGAAGAGCAGATTATCAGATGTGTTCTTCAGTTTTCTGTCAAACCTGCAAATAAAATTTATACGAATCTTTTCAGCAGGAATCTCAACCACTAAAAGCTAAACAATGGTAGTTCTGCTCATCAAAGTTGAAAAGACAAAGCAATGTGTCCAATCAAAGTTTTGGAAAAGCGTACATCCATAAGTTCCTCATTCAAGGGAAGTTAACATAAAAACATAGGACCAAATGTTTATGTAGGTATAGACATTTTACACGCACATACATAGACATGCTAGAGGAAGAACAAACACTGACAAGTAAAATTTTCCTCACTAACCATATATGGACATTTATCACAGGAACTCCCACTAGCTTCTCCAACTTTTGGAAATATGGGATCTCTTTCCAGTCTTCAGGCAAAAGAAGCTTGAAGATATCCACTAATCGGATAATCAAAAGCCAGCAAAAAATTATAAATTCATATTGAAAATGTGAAAACTGGAAGCTCGATACTAGTATAATGGATATTATACCTGGAGTGGCAAACACAAAAGCATCTCCTTTAATTGTACTGCCATTATTTAGTATAAAACATTTGACACTTCCATCCTCATTCAGCTCAATCTTTTTTATTCGTGAGTTTAGTCTGACTTGGCCACCTTTTGACTCAATATGTTCAACAATCGGCATGCAAAGTCTCTCAGGAGGGTTACCATCTAAAAAGGCCATTTTTGAACCATGTTTCTCCTGCAGATTGATAATTCAAATATATCAGAAAAGTAAACTGAATGGACAAGTTCACTCATAAGTTTCCTGCACCAATACGTCAGGTCCCAAACATGATTTACAGCTTTGGTAGGACTACATTCCTTTCTCTCTTTTTGTTTTGAGGGTGGATCAGGATTCTAACCTGAAGAAATCTGTTCAAAGCAATCAAAATGCACTGCATCGAAAGCTCGTCAGGGTTTATGAAGTTAAGTGCCTTTGACATGGCAATGAACACCTCATCTGTCACCCTATCAGGCACACCCTGAAAAGCAATTAAGCAAATAGCTGCTGATGAGATTTGCAAGATGTATGTTTTCTTTTTGGTAATTGAATGATTTTATTTACCAGTACCAATATGTACAATGTCAAAAAAACTGAGTCTGGACAAGCCCAGCCTCATACAACTTTAACAACTCAACATCTGTAGTAAAGACTAAGGATAAAAATTTATTTCTGCTATTTTCTGCAAGATGTATGTTGTTAGAAAAGGAAAGGCAGGTAGACATTTCTAACTTGTTAAATAAACAACTTGCAAGTCAACTATGTCTTCAAGGTTATGAACTTAAAAAGTAAGATAAAATGATCACGCACTTGCTTTCTCATCCAGTCCTTAACACTTAAACCGTCTTGAGCTTCAACATAAGATTGCCCTCCAAGCATTGCTGGCAAGAGTCCAATAGCAAATTTGACTTTTTCGGGCCATGTAAGCATTTCATTGTTCTTTAGTATGGCCAAAATTCCTGTAGAAGTAATAACACATAGATAGAGAAATGAGAACAAGAGATACAGCTAGAGAAATGAAAATAAGAGATAACAATAACTGGCTTATGCTTGCAATGTGTAAAAATCTGTACTTACACTCAATCACTTTAGCTACATGCAGAAATTCTGATCAAGACGTAATGAACCTTTATGTTCTTTTAATGTTTACACTCAATCACTTCAGCTACATGCAGAAATTCTGATCAAGACGTAATGAACCTTTATGTTCTTTTAATGTTAGCAATGTGCCAGAGATATTAATGGACTAATCAATTTCATACCTTACTGGGGAAGTTTGCATAATCAATATTCAATACAGAAGGGAAAAAATTTACTCATGATTAAGTCCTTACCATTTAATGGCGCAGGAAGAGCTTCAGGAAAATCAAAGCGGCTGAATTCCCCTGGCTTGTTAGGCATCGCAAATATCATTGAATGTTCCTTCCACTGCAACCGATCGTTAATCCCTAGTTCTCCAAACAGGTTCTGCATATTTGGGTAAGCCCCAACTTAAAGGAGATGCACCAACTTGTATGAGTCACCATACAAAATTAAAAGATGAAAAAAGAGAGGCAAGACAGTATACAGATCGGCTGACAAAAATTGGCTATTTGCAAAAGACAAAAGACAAACAGGGATAGCTATCTGATTAATGGACAAAAAAGATCTTGAAAGAAATTGCTATGACTGTATTAGAAGATTAAAGTACGCATTCTTGAGGAGTCAAACTTACAGAATATATGCAACCCAGTCTCATACCAATCTCCATCATCATCTTTCCATGCAGCTACCTAAAAGGGAGGTATAAGTATTCAGGTGCAGAACACATAAAGATTAATGCTAATTCAATTTTTTAGCCTATACAACTAGATTCTTGGTGACTGCTTCAGTAAGACAAAACAGACTAACATAGTGTTCTATACTGAAAATATCAGCTAATTCACATAGCATCTCACAGATAAGACTGTATTTATACGAGAAATACACCCAACAGGACGGGTAAAATAGACCGAATCTTAAAATAATAGAGAATGATAATAATGTACTTCCCATATCTTTTACCTAATATGCTGTATAATTTTTCGACAACCAACTTTATTAGTAGTAAAGCTGGAAAATTTTAGGACGTATCAATTTCCTCCAAAAACAGAGAGAGAGAGAGAGGAATAAAACTGAACTGAGAGAAAGGACAACAGTCACAAATAGGAATAGTAAACACCCTTGCAATTGTTTGAGCAACTGAATGTTTAAAGAGTATGAAAAATGATTTTAAATAAAACAAACAGAAGCCTTCCTGAAAAGGGACTATCAATAGGGAAGGACACAAAAGAAAAAGGAATAAAATTAAAGGAAAGACTGGATCTTCTTCACCTTTCCACCTAGGACATCTCTTGCCTCCAGCAATAGCGGTTTGTGACCAGCATCTGCCAGATATTTTGCTGTAGACAAACCACCCAGACCTGATATTCCAAAAAAATTGAATTATAATCATGTTACAGCTTCTATTTATCTGAAAAGGCTATGTAGTACCTCGGCTAGCATTCTTTATTATATCTTTTATAATACAGCAGAATGTATCATGCATAGAACATTCTTTCTTTAGGTACTCAGATAATCAACCAGTTGATGACAATACAAGAGAAATGATCGGCACAGTATTTTGCAAGAAGAACAAGTTGAAAACTGCTAACCGGTCAGTGGTCCAGCCTAGTAAAGATGAAATATGAAGATCTCCTTCTCATCTTTTTCTCACAGATTGCATGCCTTAGAAGAGGGCAACCCCTACATGTAACTGGTTTGACTTTTCAATTGGTTTTGAAATTTTTGGAACTCTAAGTACTCTGATTATAGGTATAGTGAGATCAATCTTGCACAAGATATTGGTTCATTTGCCTCCAATATTTCAGAATGATCCTTTGGACATGCCACCCAATAGACAGCAGGTTCACCCGCTTATCATGGCTCAGATGATAAGAGAGAATAGACATGTATATAAACACAGTGACGGCAAAAATAGATCAAAACAAACTAATTTTCAAACCGCCCCTAATCTAATCAGCCGGGACTTGCTGATTAGTTGCAACATGGCAAAGAAGTAAGAACCTAAAAATTTGCGGCCCAAAACAGTTAATCAGAAAAGAATGCACAGGTAAATATTCTAGTGATAATACAACTGATAAAATGATCTTCCTTCCGAAGAAAGAAAAATGAAGACTAGAAATATAGATGACTGAAAAAAATTACCTGCACCAGCAATAACAATCTCCAATGGTTTAGTTGGGCGTGAGGAAGTACGAAATGATGATGATAATAACGCCGCCTCCAAATAGTTAACTGTATTGTCTAGCTCTGGTCTTGGATAATCAATGCAGACTACCTGAATGGCAAGATATACTTCTCTTATTTTAGAGAATATATGCCCATGATCATAAATCCAGCATCACACTTTCGCATTCAAAACAAACCTTTAAAGGATTAAAGTCCTTTGTCAATCTTCTGGTCGTGGCATTGGGAGTACGAATCTTTAACTTATGCCCCATGGAGTCGCTACCACCAAAACATAATGAATACCTTTGCACATGACCAACTTGACTTTCAGTCCCCAAAGAAGACCTCGAGCTCCAAAGATAAGCTGAATTACCTTGGACTCTCAAGTTAACAGCAGAAACAAGTCCAATTTGGGGCATTTTACTGAACTTAATATCAGCAAAACCTGACATAAAAGATAATTCACCTTAAGTAGATTTTCCCACTTGTGAACCTAAATCTACTTAAGCATTTATTACACAAATTTATATGCAAAAGTAAAAAAGATTCAAGCTTTTACAGTCCATATGAAACTTGTTCTCGCACTATGAGTAAAGTTATCCTTCACCCACAAAATCAAGTTCAAATCCTAACTAGTAGAAAAACGAAAGCAAATAGTAAACAAGATCCTAAACGGGAAAAAGAGAAAGCTTTTCTCAAGTAAAGCATTCAGCTGATGTAACCAAAGAAACCAAAATCATTTCTTACCTCGGTATGAAACCGCCAAGGAGTTGTGTTTCACGTTGTGGATTCTAAACCAAGATTATGCTAAAGATGTAGGAAATCGTTATGCACACAAGATGAGCAAAGAAGGAAAAGCAAATACTAATTTGTTGTGTTGAAATTGAAAGAGTTAAGAGTGGGAACTCAAAATTTGTGGTGGTTTGGCAGTTACCCACAAAAAGATACCCCTGATAAAGAATTAGGAAGGCTTAAAGAAGTACTAATTGTTGAATCTTTTGTGTATAAAAAACTAATTTTTGGTGGAGATGCCTGAATTTGGTGGTTTGGCCACTTCCGTTAATGGGTCATTTGAAGCATTGGACCGGCCTTTATGTTTTGGCTAGACTCCAAAAATGTCCCACCATTGGCTATTCCTACCATAGCCACATTTGATGGATAAAGCACCTCTCTCTCTTTTTAATTTCTTGCTTTGCTCATTCCTTCTAAAATTTGACCACCTTGCTCACATCTCCCACATGGGTTACTGGGTCATTGAGGATCCACGTAATCCAACCTGACCCATGTTTTCTACTAGTACCGAGAAATTTTTTCTTCTCTGTATTCGACAGTATATTACATTTTTGATATAAAAGATATTTAATTTATATCTGTTTGACCTCAGCCTTTTAGTTAAACTAATTAATGATGAAATAGAGGATAAATCCTAGCCAGAAATAATTAACTCCAAAACTAAATGTAATGAATAAAAAAAATGAGATATGACAAATCTTGTAGCTCGATTCAAGATTAATTAAAGACTTCAAGAATGATAATAAACTTACATCTTTGGAGTATCGTCCCGTAATGTAAGAGCAAAGAAAAAAAAGAAGGAATGCCATTGATGACCATGAGATCTATATCTATTGATTGGATAATCATTATTACAGAGGTTTATCTTCCCTATCTAAATCCTTTCGTGGTTTTCTCCTGCTCTTCTCCCTTTTTGGGAGAGAAAAAGCCTCATTTTCTTGTCTTTTCTCCTCCTATATATATTGTCCGTATTTTCTTTTGTCCATCGGTCCTTAACCAGAGGGCCTTCGTCACTTAATTGTACTTTCCGTCGTCTCCCTCAACTACCATGACATCTTCTTCACCATACAGGCTTCTTGAGGGCACGACCTCAGCGATGGCCGAGGTATTCGTCGTTGTTACGCCTAGTGGGTACGACCACAGCTTAGTTAATCTCTTATCATTCCTGTTAATACTAATCCACGTGTAGTTAGATTTTGATCCATAGAGTTAGTCCCTCCGCCGCCTGTCCGCGAGCTCGATGGGCGGACCCTGTCGATCTTAAAATGGAAAAATCTGAACGCTTCATGCGAAGGGCGAAAACCTTATGGCGAGGTAGCGACGTGATGCTTCGAGACTCGCGTCGGGCCGTCACGTCAGTTCAAGACTGGACCATCACGTCAATTCAGGGTGTCATCAATATTCCCCATGCGTCATTATGGCGCACGTTTTCCAGATATTGTGTCGTTTCCCGTGCCCTTTCCGTTTTCTAACCGGCGGCTCTTGGTTTTCCCGCTTAGGGCATTTACATCCCTATAATTAAGGGGGGAGCTCCTCATTTGAATGTTACGTTTTTTCAATTGCTTAAGACAGAATTTCACAAGTCTTCTCCTCTTTCCTCAGTCTCTCACATCTCTGCTTCCGCTAGAATTTGCGGTGACCATCGTCTTTCTCATTCATCATCTTTGCTTCTTTCGACCAAAGAAAATAAATGTCCAGTACTTCTTCCTACTCCGATAACGCTTCAGGTGCTCCGGTGTCGAAGACTGACGCATCCCTTCTTCAAGAGGGAGCGGAGGTGGTGGAAGATGAGGGATTTCCGACGGTGGATGAGGGGGTTCCCCGCCCGGGGAAGGCGAGGACCGATTTTAACAGCCCTTCCGAAAATGAACCGGAGCCCGTACCTTTCACGTTGGATGCAGCGGCGATCACTGCGTTCAAAGCCAAATGGGGAATCCCCGGCCATATTGAAATGGTGCCGGCGGGTAAGGATATAGTGCATTTACATCGCCCGGGCTACTGCGCGTTTTACGCGTATCCCTTTGTCGTCGGGTACACGCTTCCCCTTTCCTTCTTTGGTGGCTGGTTTCTGCCACTTTTATGAGGTGTGCCCGGCTCAACTCTCCCCCTATGCGTATAAGCTCTTCCTCATGCTCATCAAGTACGCAGAGCTGGCCGGCCGAGGAATTTCTCTAGGGCATATGCTCCACCTCTCTGCCCACCATTTTCTTCGGGGCACAATGATTCACATGCGCCATCGAGGAACCAAGAGCTTGGTGGTGAAGATGAATGACAAGACCAACCACCGCTTCTGAGAAAACTACTTTTACGTCCAAACGGAGCATGTCGTATCGAATCCGGCTGGGTTTCTTGAGACGTGGAATTTTGCTCGTAAGTTCTCCTTTCTGTTTAATTTCTGCAATTATTCTCAAGATGGATATCAGTTGTCCCCCCTTAAACGGCTTCGCTGAGGATTTGTTTTTGTCTTTGTAGCTGAGAGACTACCTCCCCCGCTTGTTACCGATATCCGTGAGTGGGTGAGTGCAATTCTCCCCCACACGGTGGGGATTCGCGTGTGGGCGTCCTCCCTGAGAAGTTTGGGTGCAAGCCACTTACTGGTGAGTTGGTTCGTTGTGGTTCCGCTTTGTTCTTTACTTCACAGTTTTTTTTATCTCGTCGTCATGTTATCAAATCCCTATTTACTAACAGGTCGGCGAGGAACGAGAAGGACGAGGGTTCTTCCACTCGCATTCCGTCAACTGGTGCTCTCTACCCGGCCCGCACCAAGAGCTACTGCAGGCGAGGGCATGGAGAATCCGGCTGCCCGTCGGACCATGCCCGCGGCCAAGGCCATACATTTGGAGGTTACTCCTCAACTGGAGACTCTGATTCCTGCAGTCTGTTCAACAGGGGAACCTTCCCGCATCGGTAGTGAAGAGGGCCCATCGAAGAGGCGAATGGTAGTGTTGGAAGGGGCTTTTTTAGCCGAGACGCCTTCAAGGGGCGACCTTGCATCAACGGCCCCCGAGATCGATGGTGGTGCCAACCTGGATGCGGAGGCGATGCCTGTTGCGAGCGATCATGAGACTGTTGTGACGGAGGGACGGAGCTCCGAGGCTGCCGTTGTTGTTCCGAGCAGGCCATCATCATCTCGGCCAAACCGCACCCATTCTTCAGCCAATGAGAAGGGGATAGGCGTCATGGTTGAGGATTATGAATCCGAATCCGACATTGATCCTGAGGACATGAGGATATTCGAGGAGGGTTTTACCCGAACTGTGGTAAGGGCGGAAGGCCCTTCTCGAATACTCAAAATTTCGTCGGACCTCAACGCGTTGCAAGACACGATCGATTTGGTGCCATAATTCGATCTTCTATGCTCCGCCCCCGAGAGCGAATCTCTTCAAAAGGTCAATGATTCTGAGTTGTCACGTGGCGTGGCCGCGATGGCCTTAAGGGTGAGTTCCCTTTTTCTCTCTTCGCTTTATGGCCTTTGTTTTGATACTGACTCTTTCTTCCCTCTTCTTTTCAGACTTACATGCTGGAGGTCGAGAGTGCTCGTAGGGCGAAGACGCAGGTCGAGATTTTTTTGAAAATGGCCAAAAAGTATCAGCGGTATCGCAACAGATGTTGTGAGATGCACGAGCAGCTCCCAAACGAGCGCTAGTACCCAGTCCATCAGGGAGGAGTTGGAGAAAAGAGATCAAGAGCTAATGCGGTCTATCCGCAGATGTAGTGAGCTCGAGGAGCTGTTCCATTCTAAAGACGAGGAGCTTGAGGTTGGCAAAGAGGTTGTTGCGGAGTGCGAGGACCTTCAAGCAAAGGTGTTATCTTACAACCCGAACTTGAGCAAAATGCTACCAGAGTCGAATCCTTGAGCGCAGAATGGATGGGGAAGTTGGTCGAGCTGGAAAAGAAAGTGGCCGAGATGGAAAGTGTCGAGGATGCTCGGGTGTCGGCTTTGACGAGAGCGGCGGTGCTAGAGGACACTATCCGCATCCTTAAATCTGAGCAGGAGCTTGAAAGGGCGACGACCACGCTGAGGGAGGCACGGCTCGAGGAGCGCATTGGTGAAATTGACCGGGAGGCTTCGAGCCTAGGGGATCGGGTCGTGGATCTCGAGGCCGAGAAGGCGCAACTGTTGGCCCATGCCGAATCTGCCTCTGTCGCTGTCCCCCGTCGCTTGTATGAGCTATGGGTCCATGCCGAGGTCCAACGAGACATATTCAAGGGTTTGTGAGAGGCGGGGAGTGTTCCTGAGGCCGCATTCGAAGATGCTCGGGTGAAGGCATGCGAGGCTCATGTTTCCTGCGGTTACGACCCTGCGACACTGGAGGCGGGTAAAGGCGTTGATATTGAGGATGGGCTTCCTTCTGATGATGATAATGGGAGAACGGCGGTGGAGATGACGCCGAGTGAAGCTTTGTTGCAACTTCTGTACTTAGTTTTTTTTATGTTGTTTGTTTGTTTTTATCTTTTTCTTGAGGGCCTGTTTTGGTCTTTTGTAAGACGCAGTTGTTGTGCGTGTACATCTGAATAAAATAGTTGCTTCACTTTTGTTTGTGTATCTTTTGACCTTTCTCCTTCTCTCGCTTTTTTTTTGTTCTTTCTTTCTTGGGGAGGAGATCTTCGGGTTTCTTCGAGATAAGTCCCTGATCTTTTAATTAGGAATCCGAATGAGGGAGGATCTAGATTCGAGCGAGGTCGGATGTGAGTTCGAATGAATTCACTTCGGACCTGCGAGTTCGGGCGAGGGTTGACTTCTGATTTGTTAACTTGCGTGAAATCAACCTTGATTTGTATATCCGAACGAGGTCAAATTCAGACTTGCCAACTTGGGAAAGGTCAGTTTGACTTGTACATTCGAGCGATGTCGAAATCAGAGTTGCCAACTTGGACGAAGTTAAATTTTCGTGGCATGTTCGGCGATGGCTGGGGGCGAGCTCACGTGAGATCGAATTATGACCCGTTATGAGTTTGACGGGGTCAAACTTTGATTTGTTGATTCGGGTGGGAGAATTTTTTACTTCCACTTGGCGATGGTCGATGGCCGTAAGGGTGTTAATTCGAGCAAGATCGAATTGTAACCCGTTGTAAATTCGAACGAGATCGAACTTTCCTTTCGTTTGGCGATGGCTGATGGCCGTAAGGGTGTTAATTCGAGCGAGGTTGAAATTGTAACCCGTTGTAAATTCGAGCGAGGTCAAACTTTCCTTTCATCTGGCGATGGTCGATGGCCGCAAGGGTGTTAATTCGAGCGAGGTTGAAATTGTAACCCGTTGTAAATTCGAGCGAGGTCAAACTTTCCTTTCGTTTGGCGATGGCCGATGGCCGCAAGGGTGTTAATTCGAGCGAGGTCGAAATTGTAACCCGTTGCAAATTCGAGAG